CCAGTATTTCCTGTTTCTCGTTTTGCCAGGGTAGGTTCAACTCCGGCTCTGCACTGGCTAAAGGTAAAATAAGAGCTGAAAAATAAAGTGCTTTGAGCTTTTAACTTGGCACACTCACACCTCTTGTCCTTACCTATGTGGTTGTGTATTCACATTTACTTATTTTTAAATGAAACCAAGGGTCTGTATCAATCTACAGCCCAGCACTTGCAAAATACCTAAACATTTTATACAAGTGCCTGGAGATCATTTCAAGGAAATTTATAGTTTACAACCACACCGTGCCATATACAATTTATTTTCAGGGTATTTCTGAAGTACTTTTCTCATAGAAGAACTGCTACCTTTATAACGCTGGAAAACACCATTTGCAATAAAAGTGGTTTTAAGAGACCATTACAGATCAGAACAACTCGAGTTTATTCCTTGTAGCTGCTATTTCTCAAATGCAACAGCTCCACAGCCCTGTTCCTCACTCTCCATCACAAACTGGGATCTCAGCTCTACTGTTTCACACACAGAAAAGAACAAATACCAGGTCCTCAGCAAAAATCCATCCAGCAAATTCACTTATAATGAAAATAATAGCCACAAGCATTAAAGAAAAAGAATCCCACTTGTGAAAAATAAAGTATGGCCACGGTTTTTTGCCTGCAATCTCAGCTTCTGCAAAGATCTGTTAGGTGCGTCTGCTTCTGTGAAAACTCAGCACAAAAATTTCACTGAGGTCTCATGGAGTCACTGCTAAAGTTTGTTTTCCCCCAATTAAAGAAGCTATTAAAGGCCAGTTTTAAAAAATAGCAACCTTTAATTGGGAAGAAAAACGCCCAACAATAAATAAAACGCAGACACATTTACCAATTAAAAATCTGACAAGATCTGTCTTAAAAAAAAAAAAACATTTGCTAAATGCCAGGTTGCTTGTTTCAGAATACAAAAGCTGCTTCAACCAGCTACCAACAAAACAAAAGGTTAAGAAAAATCAATATACAAACACGTGTTTGTCCTCTGAGTGATAAAAGAAAATATTCCTCAAATTGTCCTTCAGCAGGAGAGCCAAATTTGCTCCGTTATCTGCATGATATTTAAAAAGCCATTGCCAAAGCCCCTGGGATCAGCAGATTTCTGTGACAGCATCTTGACCTTACAAAGTACCTTTTATTTAATGAACTTGAGGGATCTTTCTTATCCACAAAGCAATGAGCAGGTTTTGGAGGTGGGTGTGCTGAGGAATGAGCACAAGTGCAGCAGCACAGGGATAGAAGCTGTAAAGCCCTGATATCCAATATCCACGCTGGAAGTCACAATCCCAGGAGCTCTTTTCTTGTAGCAAATAATGCTCATTTCTTCTGAGCACTTTCAGGACAAGAACAAATTGAAGATATTTCCAATAGCTGTAAAGGCACAGGGAAAAAGAAGGAAAGCTCCCTGGAGCTGCAGCCAAAATGGGGATTTAAGGGCAGACTTTGCAAACGCTCATTAAGCTTCCCAGACACTCTTTACTTCCAAGATTTATTGTTGGGGACAATCCTTTTATTTCTCCTTTGGGAGAAACAAGAGGGGAACTGGCCAAGAACTCAGCACTGCTGGGGGTGGAACTATACCTACCAAAATTTGGGAATTCCCTGGGAGCTCCTGGCTCTTTTGGGATGGATCAGTCCTGCCCTGGGACAGCTGCACGTCCCTCACTCCTGACAGCACTCATGGAATGTTCTTCCAAATTAATCCATCCTTGAGGCTGCCTTTAGTCTCTGTTCTTGGCAACAACCAGAAAACCAAGGTGAATTCCATGTCTGCATGGATCCTCCTACAGGAAACAACTGGCAAAAAACAAATGTGTTCCCTGACACGACAGGAAAAAGTGACACTTCAGAGGGCTCAAAAGGAATCCCAAGTGCGACTCTCTTTCCTGTTGGGTCTTCCTTCATCTCAGAGCTGCTGAAAAGCAGAGCCACAGAGAGCAGGGGTAACTCAGAATTCCCAAACCAGACCCCATAAAATTCCATTTCTGACTGGATTTTAGTGCTGCTACACAAGTTAAACTTGGTCATGGATCTCGCCCCAAACACTCTCCCTGGAAGTGAGACACTTTCTCCTGGGAAGTCCAGTCACAAAACCACAAGAATCCCTAAATCTGGGATCACAGAAAGGAAATTATTCAGTTCTTGTGAGTGAGAGCTGCTGAGCTTGAGTAAATATCAGAAATTATCCCTTCATTAGTAAAATAATTTCTATTTACAAAAAGCCTTTCAGCTTCACACTTCAAAGCATTTCACAGACAATACAAAGAGATTTTGCAGCCCTAAACAATGTTTTTTGGAAAACATCCCCATCTTTGCTATAGCTAAGTAAAACATCAATACTTGAAGAAGCTCCTCTGTTTTGTTTGTTTACAGCAGAAAAATGCAGTCAAAGTTTTGCTGTTTTTCATCCACTGTTCCCTTTATGGACCTTTCACACTGCAACAAGGGAGAAATAAACAGCCTAAATAAACAGGGACATGCAAGTGTAAAACCACAAGGATTGGCAGAAGCCTCTATTATGCATAAATGTTTTGGAAATAAAGCCATCAACAAAAGGAAACTCAGCTACATTTCAAACCAACAGCTTGCTGTTAAGATTTGTATTATTTTTCTGAAGCTGAGTAAAATTACATTTAAGCCACCCAGGTTTAAATTTCTGCAGTGGTTATTTTATGATCATACAAACCACTAAAAAATTCACCTGTTGCTTGGCAAGTTTGTCCTCACCTGATCTCCTACGCAAAAACAAGGCATGGAGAAAAGTGATTTAAATTCCTTTTCACACCATTTGCTTTTTGCACTTGGCTAAGCCTAAGAAACATCAATATTATTACCACAACACTTTTTCCTTCCCCTGCAATCAGTTCTACCCTCAGGTTTTCATGGTCTGGCTCAACCTGGCACGTCAAGCTCTGCAGAGAATCTCTACATCCAAACCAAGTTCTAATTAAATTCTGGAAGTTTAGTTGTCAGGCTGTTCTATTGAATAACTTTAATTTCATAAAGTCAGTAACTCACTGTTGTATCTAAAAACCAGGCCTAAACCAGCCAAGGTATCAGTACCTGAAGCCAAAGATTATGAGACAAACATTTTATTTAGAGAATAGAACACTGTGAGTTCACTTTGCTGGTTTTAAATACATTTGATAAGCCCAGATTTTTTAAAACAGAGGTACCAAAGGAAGACTTAAAATACTCTTGGAAATTACAGGAAATATGGAAAAAAGATGATTACAACAGGAAATGCTGCACAACCAGCGCATGTTTATTATTCTTCCATTGACAGTGGCACAACTTTTTTTTTTTAATAGAACCAACATCTCCCTCAAGTTTTGCAAGACTTCAAAGATTTCAGAGCAATGATAAAAAAATTGAATTTTATCCTACACAGAGGATATTTAAATCATAACTCTACCTAGATAAATAACTAGTGCCACAACAACTTCTCCAAAAACAGAATGACTACAGATTCTCTCCAAGACACTGGAGTAGGAGCCAAAGTTTGGGAGCTCATTATAACTGCCAGCATCCTGCTGGTGTGACTGCAGCTGCTGTGTAAGAACATTCAAAACATGCAAGAATTACTTAAAATATGCAAGAATGTTCATTCGTTGTGGGCAATCAGCTGCCAATCCTCTGGTTTTAAGCAGCACAGAAAAGATTTAAAGAAAGTACTGTAGGGGAACAGTGATTGCACATCTAAGTCTATCACAGAACCATCGTCCAGCAGAACCAAGTTCAGGAACATGCAGATAAAAATCAGTGGCTAAACATGACAATTCTTTCTTTTCAATGCCAACAAGACAGGCTTGGAAGCAGCAGCACTTTGCCCACTCTGGCATTCCCACACAGGATGGAGTCCTCCTGCTGGACTTGCTGGTCCTCCAGCAAGATGAATTTTAGAGATTTCCAGCCAGATGAATTTTACTCGGTGCTGCTGCTGTGTTTGAGGGTAAGGGGTCATTTATGGAGCCCACAGTGCCTTGGCCTTCATGGAGGGCATTAAGCTGGTACTACCTGCAGGGTTTATTCCAAACTCACTGAAAAGAGCTCCAAGACCATTGAGTCCAACCTGTGACAGCCACATCAGAGTACCACGTCCAGGTTTTTCTTCAAGACCTCCAGGGATGGGGACTCTGCCACTGCCCCTGGAGTGATGGAGTCCCTACAGTGTTTTAAGACTCTTCTTGTGTAGAAATTCCTCCTAAAATCCACTCTGAGGCTGTTTCCTCTCCTCCCTGGAGCACAGCCCCGACCCCCTGGCTGTCCCCTCCTGGCAGGGACTTGTGCAGAGCCACAAGGTCCCCCTGAGCCTCCTTGGCTCCAGGCTCAGCCCCTTCCCAGCTCCCTCAGCCTCTCCTGGTTCTCCAAACCCTTCCCAGCTCCATTCCTGGACCTGCTCCAGCCCCTCAATGTCCTCCCTGAGTTAAGGAGCCCAGAACTGGACACAGCACTGAACGTATGGGCTCATCAGTGCCCAGAACGGGGGGAAATCACTTCCCCATCCTGAGGCCACACTGTTTTAGACACAGACCAGGTGCCACTGATGTTCTTGCCCACCTGGGCTCGTGTTCCAGCAGCACCCCCGGGTCCTGTTCTGCTGCACAAACTCCCCAGGCTGGAGCAGTGCCGGGGGTTCCCGTGTCCACAACACCGCACGGCACCTGGCCTTGATGAACCTCACCCCGCTGGCGCCAGCCCCTCCATCCAGCCTGTCCCGCTCCCTCAGACCCCGGGATGCAGCAAAACACTGGGAGCAGGAGGAAGTGCGCCGGGACAGCCGTACAGCCATCAGCACAAGGTTTTCTCCAGCACTGCAGCCCCCCCAGCGCTCCTGGGCCAGCAGGGACCCAAACCTCGGGTCACCCCACACCCCGGAAGCCGGAGCCGGGCAGGCCTCCCCAGCACAGCACGGCCCGCAGCCAGCCCTGGATCACCCTCAGAGGCGCGGAAGATGCGGAGCGGGGCCGCCCCTACCTGATAACGGAGATGAGCAGCCCCGAGGGGTCCTTGCTCCTGCCCACGGTGCTGCGGTACCTCCCAACCGCATCGCCCGCCGCCATCTTGCGTCCCCCCCAAACACGGCGCGGACGCACGTGCTGGCGCGCCGCAGCCAATCATAGGCGAGGAGCGTGGGCTGCCATCCAATAGAAGGCGAGGAGGGCGGGGCACGCAGCATCAAGGCGGGGTGCGCCGCCGCGCAGCCTTCTGGGAGGTGTAGTTTTTGTGGCCGCGGCGAGACAGATTCCCACGCAAAACAAGTTAAAAATAAGTAAAAGGTTAAAAAATTATCGACCTGAGAAGATACACCTCCAAAGACACCTGTGCCTAAAAGCTGTCACTCTGGGAGCGGTAGAAAACTGTGGAGGTATGAGGGACCAAAGCATCCCCTCAGGGTCCTCATGGAGCAGGGTTGGTGGAACAGTGAGAGATTTAAATGTTTATAATAGAGTTAAGAGTGGGTAAATTGCGTTAAGTACTTAAATCAACGTGTTCGATGAATTGCTAGTGCTAAATACTCGCTGTGAGTCACAGCCGGAACGAATTTGATCACAAATACACCCACAAGAGTTGCTGACGCTTACCTTAATTTAATGTCTTTAAGCTTGTGAAAAATGCATATTATATGACTCTACGCAGATAGTTACTGTGTGTATTATGTTATATTGATTAGTTGTGCTTTTGTAATTAAAGATTTTAGTAGTTAAAATACAGACTATGCATATGGGAGGGTTTTTTTCTTTTTTTGGAAATGAGATGCTCACTTCAAAGAACACCTAAATCTTCCAGAAGAGATGAATTTCTAGCTTTCTTATCAGAAGAAGGTAATTTCTTCAGGTCTTATTCAAACTCAAAAACACCATAAGAATTACTAGAAATAGATGACAGACAACAGTTTCTTATTTTAAATAGAATGTATGCATAACCATGAATGATATATGAATATGCAACAAGTGTATTGTTTTAAGGGTAATTCTTTTGTTCACAAAGTATGCTTTTCGTAACTTAGTGTCCAAGAGCATCCAAACATCCGTAATTCTTTACTTTTTATTATCTTGTAATTATCCTAACTCCTTAGGAAAAGCATGAATCGCCATAATTTATGTGAAAAATGTATATTTTATGTTGGCTCTTTGCATATATTAAATTGAATACTATATGTATTACAGAGAATTATTTTGTAATACTGTATTAATCCTTTTTAAGTAGCTTGATAAATATAGTTTTAGGTTACAACATAATGTTAAAATAGAAAATGTGATGTAAGATGTTTTTAACTAGCTCAAGAAAGGGATAAGATAATCAAGAAACTCTTCACACAGAGATAAAAGCGGCAGGGCACATAAAGAGTTACTGGCTCCTTATCAGAAAAGACAAACATCCTTCCACCTTCTCTCCGTCTTTATTTGACAAAAGCCAGAAAAATTCTTAATTTGCAAGGAATTTATGCATTATGTGTGAGCTATATGAATATGCAACAGGCTGTTGCTTTCAAGGGTTATTCCTTTGTTCACAAAAAATGTTTTTGGCAGCTTAGTGTCCAAAAACATCCGGGCATCCGTAATTCTTCGCTTTTTATTGTCTTGTAGTGTCCTAATCCTCATTGTTCAAATTTTTATTACTCTGATTTTATTACTATTTTTTATAACTGTTTTATTACTAATAATCTTTTAAGATTTTAAAAAACAAGTGAATAGTGTTTTCCACAATTTCCATCCCTTGGAGCTGTTTTCTATACCAGGTTCACTCCATCATGTCAAACACTCTGCTTTTCCAGAAGTGGTTTTTTCTGCCCAAAGCTGCACCTTAACGATTTAATTGCATGGAAATTGCTGAAATCTGTAGGTGAGTCAAGAGTACCCATTTAGTCGAGCTGTATTTGAAACACGAGGTAATGGGAAGCATGATAATTCCTTATTTACAAGGGGAAGAATTCCACCGTAGCTGTTGTGGAAGAGCCTCTATTTATCAATCAACATCTGTATCTATTATCATTAGCAGAAGAGCAGAGTAAGAGCACGGGCACTTTAATTCTGAAATAAAAGATACTTAATTCCTGAATAAGTAATGTGTTTTCAGAACAGAATTACTCTGAAGTAAAGTGATTTTTATCTCCAGGTAGGGTGTGCACTTCAGTGTGCTCCCTTGAAGCTGTTCTGCTACGTTTCCCCTGCGCAGACGAGCTCTCACTCCACAATTTCCCATGCAGCTATACCAAAATAAAAATCTAATTTTCCTTGTTTTTCTAAACAGGTTTGCCAATGCCTTTGCCCAGGGATGGTTATTTGAATGGTAAGAGATTTGTGCACTGGCTGGAGGGAGTTTTTCCTCAAACTGCCGACTTGCCAATATTGTTTTTGTTAATTGGCAATTCCCATCGACTGCTCTGGACCAGCAGGGCCTGGAGTTTGCCTGGAGTGGGGGTAAAATCGATGGGTCCCACCTTTTCACTCCTGACAGCTGCAATAATCACCTCATTGAGGAGGAACTTCATCAGGACAAACAGCAGCAAATCTGCCCCAGAACTGTGACCTGGCTGCCTTGCAGCGCTGGGCTCTAATTGCTGACCCACTGCCTGGTTTCATTGGCCAGCCCTTTTTCCCTTCACTCCTCACCCAAGCAAAGCCACAGGTGGGAATTTGTGTTTTCTTTAAAATGAAAAGGGAAAAATCGACAAAGGCCTGGCTGATGCAGCACGTGAAGGCTGAGGTCTTTCTTGATTAATAATAGATGATAAAATGAGGCTGAAGGCTGATGAGAACATCATTTTTCCTTACACAATTTACAGAGGAGGGTCTCAATCTGAAAATTGATGGAAGGGAGAACAGACAAAAGGATTTTTTTTTCTTTTTCACATTCCTTCCACATAGTGTTTTAGTGCTCTGAGGTGTATCTGGTAAAACGGGTGGTTCCTGGATTACCTAAACCAAAGAAAATCCAAGCTGACAAACAAAATATTCATGATGATGAATGAATCCTTGTCACACCTTGTCAACAGAGATCAGATTGACTCAGTACAGGGTCCCCCATTCAGGAGGGACTGGGAATCACAGATGGTTTCACTCATCCTCCCCATCCATCCTCCCTTCAATAACAAAAAAGGAGAGGAGGGGTGAGCTTGTACTGGGCTATTCCTCATCAACTGGGCCAGTTTCCCACATAGTGCAGAGTTCTGCCAAAGAGAATTCTGAAGAGGCACAGGCAGAGCAGTTTTTTCGGAAATATAGTTTATTCCCTTGGGAAGTGTTTCACAAACTCTACTGGCCAGAGTTCCATTTCCCATGTGAGTTGTGTGACACTAAGGGATTGGTTTCCTCCTTTCCTGAGGTAGTTCTACCTGCAATCCCTTTCCACAGTCTATTCCCTGATATTTTCTAAGTGTTTCCTGGGAATTCATGGGAATTCCTAAACCTAAGAGATTTAGGGCTGATGTACACATGGGCTCTTTTAACCACAGCTTTAACATTTGAAAAAAAAAAAAAAAATACCACAAGTGCTTTGTTATTTCATTTCAAACACCAGTGAAAATGTCAGACCAAAGGGTTCAGCCCACACCAGCTTCTTACAGGTCCAATGGCCCTGTGTGTAATGCCTTAATATTGGTTATAATGAAATCCCCTTTGACTTCCAGCAGTGTAGATGGGAGCAGAGTTAAGGCCAGAATTTCCAGCTAAGCTGGAGGAGCAGTTTGCCTGTAGAATGTGAGCCTAATCCTGTTGGCATCTCTCAGTCAGTTTAATAAAATCTATTTTACCCTTCTTACAGAGCTGGTCACCCCCACATCAGCTGCATTAAGCTGAAATTGGTGCATGGGTAAAGGATCAGGTTCCAGCCACCCTCTTCTTCCAAATAATTCTGGTTTTCTTATGAAGCTTTACGAAGTTTTGCCAAACTGCCTGAGTAAAGAATTGAGTAAAAGTGTGCTGAAACATCAGGATTTGGCTCTAGGATTAGTCATGCATCTGGATGACTTCATTATTCCTATTTACCATTAAATAAGTGTGAGCTAAAGCTGATTTATGTTGTTTTTTTGGATTTTCTGCACAGCCATGATCAGTTTCTCTTTCCAGCATGTAGCTGCCATCAATTCTTTTTGTCTCTGTGAATAAGAAGAAACTCCTGGGGCAGGAGAAGAAGTTGCCTGGCTCAATGCTGAGAATCAAGGCAGAGATATGATTCAAATGTCTCCTTATTGTTTTTTGCCTCCTGACATTTCCCACGTTGCGCTGTGTTCTGCTGCTGCAGGAAAATAATAGCTAAGATTAAGTTAAGTGGAAAAACACGGCTGCTTTTCCAATGTCAAATCCACAGAACCTCTGGTAATGCAGTCCCTGAAGGAAAGCAGAGCAGGTGTGAGGCGTTGCTCCTCACAAGCAGGTAAAAATGCTGTAAGAGAGGATGTTCTCCTTCTCTTAACCATTCAAAAAAAAAAAAAAATCCAGTTATTTGGTTTATTTCCCCCCTTTATTTTACTTATCCTCACTAAGGGAATGCTGTTTCTACAATTTTCCAAAGGAATTTTCCAAATCCTCAGGTGAATGGGTGCAGGCTGCTTGTTGGCTTCTTGAAATTAAGATCCTTAAGTCTTAATCTTCCTTTGGAACCATGGAAAACTTTGGGTATATGAGAGACATAAAAACAACACTCCCATGTTTATTTGTGGGTTTTTTTCCCTCCCTTCTGTAAAGAAGTTTTTAGATCCTACCCACAAACTTGTTATTTTAATCCAGTTCCATTAAGTTCCTCATGTTTTGACTTGAGGATTTGTTGGGCATCAGCTCTTGCCTCGAGTGATACCCAAGCCTAAATTCCTACAACTTGGGGAAAAAAAAAAAGGTGGCTGGATAGAAAAGAAAGTTCCAGAAGTCCTGCTGGCACTGAGGGGGACTTGGATCACTTGGATCATCTATCCCAGCAAATCCATTTGGGAGGAAGATTTAATGGATTCCTCAACCCCAGGAAAAACCCTCAGATCAGAGCTCCACTCATTAAACCACAGGCAGCTGAGTATGACAAATGCTGGAGATAAGGCTTCAGAAATTCCAGCGCTCACAGAAATATTTCATCCTGCTGAATGCAGCTCTGGATATTTTTTA